AATTAAGTCACCCCCGAAAAGACGTCCTAGCCGTTTTTTCGGGGGTCAAAAAAAAATAAGGCCCGGCCTTATTATGTGAGAAACACGGTAGTTTGGGTAATGAAATGTCTGCAGGAAAACAACCAAGCTCAGAGAGTACACCAAGGACCCCTCACACTATTCTATGTTCTGTATTTAAAGCCAACGCCCTCTTGAGGGTTTTTTGGCAGCTGAACCTTTCCATTCCCACCCACCCACCTCATCTCTTATAACAGAATTTAGTCTTCTGATTGCTCCCTTCTGCATCTTATCTAAGCCTGTTTTGGTTTAACAGATAACAGATAATCAGAGTTGGAAGGGACCTTGTAGGTCATCTAATCCAACTCCCCACCCAAGCAGGAGACCCTACACCATTTCTGAAAAATGGCACTCCAATCTCTTCTTGAAGGTCTCAAGTGATGACGCTCCCACAATTCCCGAGGGCAAGCTGTTCCATTGGTTGATTGTTCTCACTGTGAGAAATAAGTTTCTCCTTATTTCCAGGTTAAATCTCTCCTTGTTCAGTTTCCATCCATTATTCCTTGTCTGGCCTTTGGGTGCTTTAGAAAATAGTTTGACCCCTTCCTCTCTGTGGCAGCCCCTCAAATATTAGAACACTGCTATCATGTCTCCCCTGGTCCTTCTCTTCCCTAGACTAGCCATGCCCAGTTCCTGTAACCGTTCTTCATATGTTTTAGTCTCCAGTCCCCTAATCATCCTGGTTGCTCTTCTCTGCACTTTTTCTAGTCTCAACATCTTTTTTATAGTGCGGTGACCACAACTGGATGCAGTACTCTAGGTGTGGTCTTACTAGGGCTTTGTAGAGTGGTATTAGTACCTCACTTGATCTTGATTGTATTCCTGTTAATGCAATTTAGGATTGCATTAGCTTTTTTGGCTGCTGCTGCACACTGCTGGCTCATATTTAGCTGATTCCTCTCACAGTTACTGCTATTAAGCCTGGTTCCATCCAGTCTATATGTGTAGTTTTGGTTTGTCTTGCCTAAGTGTAGGACTTTACTTTTCTCTACATTGAATTTCATTTTGTTAAATACAGCCCAGTATTCTAGTCTGTCAAGATCCATCTGGATCTTGAGCCTATCTTCTTGGGTGTTAGCTATTCCTGCCAGCTTAGTATCATCTGCAAATTTGGTAAGTTCCCCTTCTATTCCCTCATCTAAGTCATTAATGAAGATATTGAAGAGTACTGGGCCTAAGGCAGAGCCTTGTGGCACCCCACTGTTTACGTCCCTCCATGTAAACTTAGATCCATTAAGGACTACTCGTTGAGTACGGTTTGTCAGCCAGTTGTGAGTCCATCTAGTGGTGGTGCTATCTATTCCACTTTTTTCTAGCTTACTAAGAAGTAGGTTGTGGTCTACTTTGTCAAATGCCTTGCTGAAATCTAAATATATTATGTCCACAGTATTTTGCTGGTCTACTAATTTAGTCACTATGTCGAAGAATGAAATAAGATTGGTTTGACATGATCTGTTTTTAACAAACCCGTGCTGACTGCTAGTTATTACTTTACTTGTTTCTAGATGTTGGCACATCTGGTTTTTTAAATTATATTTTCCAGTATCTTCTGGAGTATTGATGTTAGGCTGATTGGTCAGTAGTTTCCTGGTTCTGTTTTTTCTTTTTCTTTTTGGAGATGGGAACCACATCAGTTCTTTTCCAGTCCTCTGGTAGTTTCCTGGTCCTCCAGGATTTTTGAAACATATGGTGCAGTGGTTCTGAGATGACCTCTGCCAGCTCCTTTAAAACTCTGGGATGTAATCCGTCAGGCTCCGGTGATTTGTGTTTGAGATCAGACAGGTGTTCTCTTACTATTTTTTTTTGTTTGCTTATTTTAACTTTTATTTCTGGTCTGTCTTTTACAGTTATGTTTTTGGTGGGTTGAGCTATAGTTTCTTTTTGCGTGAAGACGGGTGCAAAGAATGAGTTAAGCAGTTCTGCTTTCTCTCTGTTGCCTGTTACTTCCTTGCCATCTTCTCTCCTTAGTGGACCAACTGCTTCCTTGATTTTTTTCTTGTCATTTATATGTTGGAAGAAACTTTTTTTTATTATCTTTGACTTTTGTTGCAAGTCTTTGTTTGTTCTGAGCCTTCGTTGGCCCAAATCCTCCTTAAAACTAATGCCCAGATTTGACACAGTTCTAGGAATGAGGTCTGACCATATTTCACAAAGCAGAACTATTCCTTCCCCATGATTTGAAAGCTTCTGTTGATGCAGCATGGAAACCATATTTATTTCTTCCACAGCAACATGACAGTCTTGGCTTGAATCTGTAATCAACCACTTTTCCATAATCTCCCCCCCCCCCCCCCCCCCCCCCCCCCCCCCCCCCCGAACCACTGTAAAGGCAGCTATATTTCATCCTACACTGCACATTTGCCTTCTCTTTCCTGAGTGCTTTGCATTTTCCTGTGTTGAATTTCATACACATGATGATCTTGCATTTTCCTCTAATCCCATTCCTTTAACTCAGAGGTGTCAAACTCAAGGCCCGGGGGCCAAATCCGGCCCACAAGGTGCTTCGATCTGGCCTGCAAGGCCACTCTGGAAACAGCGAAGGACCAGCTCACGATGCCTCTGCCAGCAAAAATGGAGCTCAGGGAGGCCACGCAAGGCCCACCCGGGCTCAGTTTTCGGCAGCAATGGCCTCCTGCAGCCCTCTGCCAGTGAAAACGGAGGCCTGGGCAGGCTGCGTGCTCCATTTTCACTGGCAGAGGGCTGCAGGATGCCATCGCGGTCAAAATCAGAGCCTTGAGAGCCAGCCCACCCTGGCCATGGCCCCCGACTACCACCCCCAGCCCCACAAAATCAAACACTACCCTGATACGGCCCTCAATGAAATCGAGTTTGACACCCCTGCTTTAACTGATCAAGGACATCCTGAATTTAGCTTGTGTCTCTTAGGATATTAACTCTCCCGTCCCACGTTATGTCTTCTGCAAACCAGACAGGCAAGTGTAACAATCCTGAGTTGTAACTGGACTACTGCCTGCTCTAGAGTAGAAGTCCCCAATCCCTGGGCCATGACCCACTGCCGGGCTGAAGCCCATTGGGAACTGGGCCGTGCAAGTGATGAGCTAGCACACATATGTGAAACCATCCCCTCTTCCCCCACTGCTGCCATTACCCGGATCCGGCCTGTGGGGGTGCTTAGATTTGGCCTGTGGGGCCACCCTAAAAACAGCAAAGGACCGGCCCGTGGTGCCTTTGCCAGCGAAAATGGAGCTCGGGCGGGCCACGTGCGCCCACCCCAAGCTCCGTTTTCAATGGCAGAGGGTTGCAGGAGGTCATCCCAGCCAAAAAAGGAGCTCAGGAGCTCGTTTTCGCTGGCAGAGTGCTCGGGCCACCATAGGCACCCCTGACACGAGTGACATCAAGCTGACCACGCCCCTACCTCCCCAAGGTCAAAAACAACCCTGATGTGGCCCTCAATGAAATTGAGTTTGACACTCCTGCTTTGTCGCCAACCTTTTGGACCTCAGGGACCACCAAATTTATAATTTTAAATCCCAGGGACCACTAACCGGTTCTGTGGGCATGGCCTAATATCTGGGTATGGCTTGGTGGTCATGTGACTGGCTGGGCATGGCTTGTATGTAAATATTATAAATGTTTATATAAATATTGAATTTTTTATTTAAAAAAGAGCAACTTTTACCCAAAATCAGGCAAAGCAGGCAGGCAGATTGAGTTGCTCACAGAATCACAGATTCATTCAGAGATCTATCTATCTGCCATCGGCTAGCTCAGTCACATAAAATTTGCTTGCCGTGAGTTTAAACTGAATAATAGAACCTTCAGTCCTAAGGGAGGTTCGGCTGTGCTTAAAAGCAGAGACAAAGATCTAAAGACCAGCTAGAAAGCAAGAAATCCAACCATTTCCTTCTTCCTAGCTAATCTAAATCTCCCAGCACAGCAGAACAGCTGATGGTTGGAAAAATAGCAATTTAGCAGGCAAGTTTGTCGGGTAAGGAGCGGGCAGGGAGGGTTCCTGCGGGCCATATGGGTGGCGCAGCCTTGTGTTTTTGTGCAGCCTGGATTAATTGCTTTGGGGGGGTGCTCTGGGGGTGAGATTTCTCTGCGGCCCACCAAAATTTTCTCGAGGCCCACCAGTGGGCCGCAGCCCACTGGTTGGCGACCGCTGCTCTAGAGGATCCAGTCCTGGAGTAGAGAAAATCATCTGTCATCCACACAATGAGGATTCTGTGCCACAAGAGATGCAATCCTTCTCCTGATTCTTCTATTACTCGGCCAACCAATCATCCAAGTTGACTTTATCCCTCTTCCCAATCCAACACACCTTACTATTCAGGAGATTCAGGTCTAAGTCTGCTTTCTTGGCCCATTTCTGCCAGAAGTTGGGGTCATCCAGAGCGATGTCTGTCCTGTTTTCAGAGGCCACAAAACTTGCCTGGGAAAGTAGAGGCAAAACAACGGAGGGAGGTTTGGTATCATGTTTAATGTAAACCAGACTTCACACACACTCCCATGTACACGCCTTTCTGCTAGATTTGTACAACCCACCAGAATTGTGGTGCTTAGATACTTTATGGCTCAGTGTGTTGTGGGAAACCCACTTCATTGTCTTAAAAGTGTTTTGTGAATCAGACAGACTTTGCTTTATTCGCTTGAGCATAGGACAAAACCATCAGGTTTCATTAACTTCCTTCTCTTTCTCCTTCTCCTTCCTCCATGTCTAGATAAAACTTTAAACTGTCAGAATGAACCCCCCCTTCTTGGTTTTGGGTTTAATGGAAAAAGATTTGGGGGAAAAACCTGGAACTTTGATCTTATATATATTGATGGCAGCAAGACGACTGTACGCACAAACATGGAAGGATATTTCGAGTCCCACCAGGGACGAATGGCTACAGAAGCTAATGGAGTTGGCAGAAATGGCTAAATTGACCGTTTTGATGAAAGAAAAGAATATAAGTAACTTTTGTTGTTACATGGAGACTGCTTCTGGACTTTGTGCTTGAGGTGGGAAAAAAAGTCAGACTTTGATTTTGGGTTTTAGTGATTAGACTGATTTGTTTTTATAGAAATGGCTAGTTTGTTACTATGGGAAAGTAAGAATTTGAGGTTCGATGTTAATGCTTTATTTTACTGCAACAGAGGGAGTTGGAAGCTTTTTTTCTTCTTCTTTCCCTCTCCCCTCACTTCTCTTTCCCCTCCCCCCCACTGTGTTTTCCTATTTGCTTTTGTATTTTTGTTTTTTATTCTATAATAATAATAAAAAAAGAATGAAGCCCTTTTCTTGGCTTTGTCATTGGCTAAAAATAAGTCATTATCGGTACACGTTTCTGGTAGTAGCCGACATACCAACAGATGGGCTGGGCTCTGTATTTCTCCATATTCACACATTTTCTTATCAGCTAAAAGCTTCCATTTGAGCATATGGGTTGGACAAGGGAGGTTGGATCCTTTAACCATCTTCTCCTTTAATGTTAGTCCTTGCTCGACGGTCTCTATCCTCCACTTTCTAATTAGATTTTGTTCTAGTGTACCTTCAAGAATGTTTGTTTGTTAACTTGGATCTGGTGTGCAGTGTGTGAACCCCTCAGAAGTTCTTTTTCCAAGGTACATAATGTCCCCAGTGTTGTGGTTGGCATTTGTCTTAACAGCAAATAGATTTCTGAACCTCATGGCTTGATAGGCACACGAGTGGTGTGGTGGCCTAGAGGAGGCTGTGAGTTCGATCCTAGGTAGAGGCAGATATTTCTCTCTCTAGGCCCACTGAGAATATATCTGCTGAAAAAAACTCATCTAGCCAGTAAACACTCAGCTCCATTCAGTTGCCCAGATTCCACCCCGCAAGGGATTATGCGGTTGTTAAAAGAGGATGATGGCTAGATAGGCAGATGGAAGGGCAGATGAATAGAAATTCCACAGCTTACAGGTAAGTCCTCGACTTACGACCAAGGGAGCCCAAAATTTCTGTTGTTAAGTGAGACACTTGTTAAGTGAGCTTTGCCCCACTTTATGACTTTTCTTGCCAGCATTGTTAAGTAAATCTCTGCAGTTGATAACTCAGGAACTCAGTTGTTAAGTGAATCTGTCTTCCCCATTGACTGCTTGTCAGGAATGTTGCAAAAGGGGATCACGAGACCATGGGACGCAGCAACGGTCATAAATATGAATCAGTTGCCAGGCCTCCGAATTCTGATCACATGACCATGGGGATGCTGCAACGGTCGTAACTGTGAAAAACGGTCCAAACTCCCTTTTTGGGTGCCATTGTAACTTTGCCACTAAACAGTCATAAGCAGAGGACTGCCTGTATTTCGGTAAACTCTAGGCCAGTTTCTGAACTTCAAGATGTGTGGACTTCAACTCCCAGAATTTTCCAGGCAGCCATCTTGAAATCCACACATCTTGAAGTTACGGAGGTTCAGAAACACTTTGGAAAATCTCCTTAAACTCTTATTAATGCCCAATCTTCTGTAAACTCTTACTGATCAGAATGAAGATGATATTTCAGACAGCATAAAGGGGATTTATGACATGAAGAATCTTGCTTTTTTTTGATTCCTGCTTCGTTCTCCACACGTTTACCCATCTGCCTTCTCCGAATGGAGTTGGCCTCACCCTGAATCTTTTGAAGACCAGATTATTTTCAAATGGAATTAGGGAATAAGGATACCTTGGCAAAGGTGGATCCTTTCCCTTCACTCTCAATGGTGATGGTGGTGGTGCGGCGAAGAAGGATCTGGTCAATGTCTTCCTCGCAGAACTTAGACCCTTCATCATCCTCTTGCATAATGGCGGCATAGGCCCCTTTGCGTAGCAAATCCTCAATCTCTTTCTTTGAAAACTGCTGAATCTGTGGAGGTGGAAGAGAAAGAAAAAAAAATTATGTTTGTTATGATATGTACAGAATAACCCTTGAGTAACAAGGATATGCACATGGAAATGTTTATGAGAGTAGTTATGAATAATTATTCAGCCACACACAGATACTCTAAATTGAGTTAAAGTTTACTTTAAGAAATAGCACAGTCCACTAAACGGTCCAGGTCATATACATTTTACAGTCCAAAGAATATCCAATTACAAAGTCTTCTTACTGGTTGCCTTTGTCATTTACAGTAAACAAAAATATCAAAGTATAAGCACAGCATAAATACAACAGAGAACCTTAGACAGCAACAGAATGTCAGAGAGAGCAAGCTATGATCTCTAGCTCCCTCTTATGGTAATTTGCAATATAATCAACCAATCGGAATATAGTATAAATCAATACAGTGATTTTGTCTGAAAGCTACAAACATACATTGTTGGTTTATATATTGCCAACCCAACTAATTGGTGGACAGATTCCTAACATTCCCCCCTTTGGGTAGGTCAATATATAATACATTACATATTTAAATCATAATTCTCACAACACTCTTTATGCTTAATTGCACCTTGAGCTTTCGTGAAATGATCTGCAATATTATGTTCAGTCATGCAGTATTCTAACTGAATTGATTTATTTTGAACACACTAACGTTCAAATATCTCAAATCAGTATGTTTAGACCTTGTTTTAACAGCTAAATTAGTAGCCATACTAATTGCAGATTGATTGTCTTCATAAACAATAAACGAATCACGTACAGTAATTCCAATATCCTTCAACAATTGTTTATATCAATTCTGTACACATTAACGATAAACATGAGAATTCTGCTTCCATAGTGGATAAACTAATATGTTGTTGCCTAATAGACTTCCATCCTATTAAAGCATTACCCAACATTACCACTATACCTAATGTTGACTTACGAGTCATTATATCAGTAGCAAAATTTGCATCAGCATATGCAGTTAACACTAATTCATTACTTGGTTCTAAATATAATGAATAATGGATTGTGTGTTTTAAAAACCTAATTATTCACTTAGCTGCTTGCCAATGCCTTTCATTTAGTTCAGTGTTATACCTAGCCAACTGGTTTACACTGTAAGATATATCTGGTCTAGACCAATTACTCAGATATGATAGACTACCGATTAAGGATTGATATATTTCCTTATCAAACATAGGACTTTTGATATCACTATGTGTAAATTCCTTACTCATTGGTGTCTTAGCAGATTTACAATGCTCCATGTTATAGCATTTTAATAATTGGCTAATCTTCTTGGCTTGTGAAATTTTAAAACCTTTATTCGTTTTCACTATATCAAGACCTAAATAATGCTTAATTTCCCCTAAATTTCTAATCCTGAACTTTTTCTGTAATCTATCAACAATATCATTTGCTTCTTGTTTAGTTTTAGTTATAATTGCTATGTCCTCCATAAATAACAGTAATAGAGAAATTAAACCATCTTTTTCTCTTCGGAACAAACAAGGATCAGCTATACCAGCTTCAAAACCTATTGAAACTAATTCCTTTACAATACATTTATTCCATTCATAACCGGATTGCTTTAGACCATAAAGACTTTTCTTTAATTTCCAATAATCAGTTTTTCCATCATCCTTTAAACCTAATGGCTTTTTCATATAGATGGTATGTTGTAAAGGTGCATGTAGATATGCAGTTTCAACATCTACATGGTTTATTTTACATTTATTCTTAGCTGCCCAAATTAATGCTGCTCTCAATGTATTTGCTCTCAGACTAGGTGCAAAAACTTCGTCATAGTCCTTATCTGACTGAGCAAATCCTTGAGCAACTTATCTTGCTTTATGGGTAATAGTCCCATCCACACCAGTCTTTATCTTATAACCCATTTGCAACCTGTTGCACGCTCACCTGGTGGTAACTTTACATCCTCATACACCTCTAAATCCTTTAACGATTTTAACTCCCTTTTCATAGCTTCCTGCCAAGCTACCTGATCTTTTGTAGGATACAGTTTTATTTCATTGAAGTTAAAAGGTTCTGTATTAATCCGACATGCAGTGCTCACTTGAAATCTGTCAGGTGGATGTCTCTCCCTAGTTGACCTCCTAGGCAACTCAGTACATGTTTTTTTTTTTTTAAGCAAGTTTTATTAATTTCAAAAACAAACAAATCATCATCAACCATTACATATTTGAACCTTTTTCCATTATAAATTTTACAAGTCAGATAAAACCTTATCTTATACAATACAATTCTATTTTAAACCATTTCCATATGAGCATGAAAACATCTCTTGTCCAATTTCTCTTTACTTCTCTTTACTCTTATCCAATTTCACTATTATTATTTCATCTATTTCTTTAAATTTAAATTTAAAGAGAGTTGTGACAATTATGATATGAAAGTGTAAATGGATATATTATTGTAATATTTATTATTATTACCCAAAAGGGGAGAATGTTAGGGATAACATTGTTTTACCCTAACTGTTTTGGGTAAAGATAATAAAATGATGAATCATGGTTTGTCAGATAAAGTGTATGTGACTTTAAGCTAAAGGAATGTAATTAAGGGTGCAGCTGTAAAAGTACTATATAAGCAGCAAGGCACTCTCTGGCTCTTACTGGCTGGCTTATTGAAGACTGCATTCTTGCTGCATCGGGGAGGAGAAGAAGTGTTGGATTACTTTGAAGATATTTCTCAACGGAGAGAAGATAAGTTTTGGACAGATTTATTATATGTGTACTGACACTGGCTATTCGACACGGACTTTGCAATTAGAGTATCCTCGACAAGACTTGACTGAATTTGGTATATGACTAATGGACTGTTTATAATGACTATGCTATAATTCTTAAATGGAATAAATTATAATTTTGATAGCACAAGCGTATCTGTATTTTTACTGCGTGTTAACGAGAAGGCTTATCTCACACATTTACCTGTCTTCCTATCTGACTTCGCTGCACGTTCTGTTTAGTTTGTTTTCCTTAACACCTGTTGGGGAATCCAGGCTTAACATTACCATTCTGTATCTTCTATATATACTTCTCCACACATTTCACTCT